GTGCTGGGACCACACAGATGAACACTAATGCTGCTAGTTGGAGGCAAGGGGAAGGAGAAGGGGCTTGGCCAGCCCTCCAACCAGGAAAGGACTTAATGAGCTGGGCTGGAGATGTTGGGAAAGTTTTCCTGTCTAGGAGTTTTCCTATCAACATATATCCCAAGGAAAGGGGGGCAGTGAGCTTGGAAGCTGATAATAAACTTTCCTGGCTTTTTCTGGGATCTCTGTTGGGTGCCAGGGGGGTGGTGGGACATGCAGCCTTCCCAGCGCTGCTGTAGGTTGGGTCCTGGGGCTCTTCCCAAGGCACAAGCTCCTTTTTTAGGAACTCAGTGTCAGATGAAGCTCAGTGATAAATGATTTGTCACGGAGAACTCTTTTTTTTTTTTTTTCCCCCTTTTTTTAAACAAAAACCTCCCACAACCCTTACTGCAGTGCCAGAAATGTGGATGCTTTTCATTCAGGGGCGCTGTGTCCATCCCAGGAAGCTGACAGGAGGATGACTGCTCCTTTTGTGCACCTAGGAGCTTCCCTGCAGGGCAGGCTGCCTTCCCTGTGAGCTCCCAGCCTGCCCTTCCCTTCTTGGCTCGGATGCCACACAGGAATTTGGGGTCAGGGATGGAGTGGGAAATGCATCCTTTCCAGCCGCTTGCTGAGCCTTGTGGTGTCCACCCAAACAAGATTGCCCCCCTCCCTCTCACAGGGCTCTTGGGATGAATATTTGGTGATGTGGTGGCTTGGAGAAGCCATTCCCATCTCCTGCCTGCTGCCTGTGGGCTGGGGTTGGGGTGTTATGGAAGGAAAATTATCATCCCCCGGCCACAGCGACCACTGGGAGCGAGAGCTGGGAATCAGGAGGGGATCCAGCACCACTTAAGGGGCACAGGAGAGGAGATCCTTTGTGTCCTGTTCTACTTCTCAGCCTCTTGGTCATTCAGTTGGGCTCCTTGGTTTTCTCCTCTGGACTTCCCACCACTTGTCCTTGATCCTCCCACACCTGGGGGTGGCCCCACTCCGGTGGGAGAAGCCAAGCTGTGGGTTTTGTTAAGCCTGGCCCTGGTCACAACTGCTCTGCTGGTTTCTTTTTTTTTTTTTTTTGGAAATTGCCCACGATTTGGTTAAGGATGCAAAGGTACTCGGTGTTTTCCCATTGTTTCGGGTTACTAGGGAAACCCCATGAGTCAGAGCCCTCTCCAGGCTGGGACTTGCCTGGCTCCAGCTGAAATTATTGTTCCCGAGGGCTGAGCAACAGAGAGTGCTACTGAGACCCCACGTAGGAGAGGGTTTGGGGAAAAAAAAAAAATTAAACCTTCAGCTTTAATTCTAACCTGGGCTTATCTGAAAAGCCAGGCTGGAGCGTGGATTGCTCAAGGCATGAGCTTGCTGCTAGTTCAAGAAGCCAGTCTAAAATAATGGGAAAATTCCAGTGCTTCTGGTGTATGGGTTTTTTTTTTGGGAGGGAGGGGTTCATGAGTCCCCTCCTTGCTGACTGATAATAACAAAAATACCTCTGATTTCTCTTTGTGTGTCCATGCGCTTTTTCCCACCTTCTCTATAGGGTTATATGTGCTTGTTGCTATGTTTTTGGGACGACATATCCCGCTGGTGAGAGAGCTCTGATAAAATCTAGAGTCGTGCCCTGCAGAGCAAACCTCCCCTTCCCTCTGTTCCTCTGCGCAGATAACACGGCTCAACCCTTGCAGAGGTGTTGACAACAGCTTTGTGCATCCCTGCAGGGCATGCAAGCCCAAAAAATGTGGTCAGGGGGACTCTCCCCTCCCTTTCTAATCCCTCAGCCCCAGAAAAGAGGCTCAGGGTGAATCCACCAGCAGTGAAAACTGAGCAGCGGGGGGAATAAAAGAAAGCAGTTTAAAGATGACTTGGCTGTTCCGAGTAAGCGATCCGGGGTTTTGAAATGTCAGCTATTCTGCTGGTTGGGCAAATTCTTCTCGTGTCTCTCCCTTTGTTTTCCTTCCCTGAAGAACAGCGAGGTCTAGATCTCGCTGCCAGTGCGGTTTGCTGTCGGGATCTCTCGTCTGGGGCTGCAGACTCGGGGCTGGCAAGAGGCTTGCAGGGATTTAGGTAGGCAGCATTCCCTGCTCCCGGCACCAGGGAGGGTCAGAGGGGGGGGTCCCATGAGCAGGGTGAGTTCCCCGAGCGTTTTGGAGAGGATACACAGGGTTTTAATGTTCCTTTCACTGTAAAATATTTAGTACTGTCCCCTCGGTGTGGCAGCGATGGGGGAGGTCCCGTGGGCTGGTTTGCCCTTAGTTCACAGCGAGCCTGGAGGGCTGGGCTGTTTATAGGTGGGAAAATTACCTTTTAAATGAAATAGGAGAGCTTTTCTTGCCAGGTGACAGTGTGAAACACACTGGGCACGTAACCACACAGGCAAGAGGGGTAAGAAGATC